GCTCAGGTTTTGCTTTTGGGAAGATTTTAAATTATTGATTTGGTCTTACTTGGCTGTAGGTCTATTCAGATTTTCTATTTGAGTCAGTTTCAATAGTTTTTGTCTTTATAGAAGTTTATATATTTTGTGTAAATTATCTAATTTGTTGGTTTATAGTTATGTTTGTTTTTGTTTTTTTTTAAGAGACAGGGTCTTGCTCTGTCACCCAGGTTTGAGTGCAGCAGTGTGATCATAGCTCACTGCAGCATTGAACTCCTTGGTGCAAGCATTGTCCTGCCTCAGCCTCTTGAGTAGTTGGGACTACAGGTGCATGCCACCATACCTGGCTAATTTTTAAATATTTTATAGGTCTTGCTACATTGCCCAGGCTGGTCTCAAAGTCCTGGCCTCAAGTGATCCCTCACCTTGGCCCCCCAAAGTGCTGGGATGGCAGGCATGAGCCATCACTGGGCTTGGCCTAATTTGTTGATGTATAGTTGTTTATAGTATTCCCATATATTCCTATTTATTTCTCCAAGGTCAGTAGCGATGGTCCCCTTTCTTTCCTGATTTCAGTAATTTGAGTCTTGTCTTTTCCCCCCCGCTTGGTCAGTCTAGGCTTTTCAATTTTGTTGATCTTTTCAAAGAACCAATTTTCAACATCAAATAGTTTTCTCTGTTGAACTGTTTAATTTTAATTTCCACTCTAATCTTCATTATTTCTTTTCTTCTGTTTTCTTTGGTTTTAGTGTGTCTTTTTTCTTAAGAGCTAAGGTTATGTTACTGATTTGAGATCTTGTTTTCTAGTGGGCATTTACAGCTGTTAATTTCCCATTAAGCACTGCATAAACTACATCCCATAAATTTTGGTACCTTGTGGTTTTGTTTTCATTCATTTCAAATATTTAAAAATTTCTCCTATGATTTCTTCTTGACACATTATTATTAGGGGAATGTGTTAATTTCCAATTATTTGTCAGTTTCTCAGATTTCCTTGTCTAGTTGATTCTAGTTTAATTCTCTTGTGTTCTGAGAATATACTTAATATGATTTCAATTCTTTTAAATTTGTTGAGACTTATTTTGTGGCCTAGTGTATGGTCTGTCTTGGAAAACATTCCATGTGTGCTTAAGGATGTATGTTCTGCTGTTGGTGATTCTATAGATGGCACTTAGGTCTATTTGGTTGATAATATTGTTTAGATCTTCTGTATCCTTGCTGATTATTTTGTTACAGCAGCACTAATGGACTAAGACAGTTGTTATTGTCAAATACTTTATATCCCTATATCTTAAAAACCCAACAATTAAATTTTATATATTTTTTGCAATTGTGTTTTAATTGAGGGGTGTGTATATATACACACATTATATAGATATTATAAATTATACAATCTTATACAGTTGCTATGTAATTGTTACCAGTGCTCTTTATTTTTGCCAGTATGAATATTTTGTCTGATGTGACTTTCTTTCAGCCTGAAGAATTTGCTTTAGTATTTCTTGTAAGACAGGTCTGCTGCTAGCAATGAATTTTCTCAGTCTTTATTTAGGACTCTGAAATATAGATTTGCTAGATTGAGGATTTTGGGTTGAGTTTTTCTCCCAGCACTTTCAGTGTCCACCTGTCTTCTGGCCTCCATTGTTTCAGATTAGAAGTCACTATTGACTTACTTTGGTTCTTTTGTATTTGAAAAGTTGTTTTTCTCTTTGGTTTTCTTTCTTTTTTTTTATTTTATTTGAGACAGAGTCTCGCTCTGTTGCCTGGGCTAGAGTGCCGTGGCGTCAGCCTAGCTCACAGCAACCTCAAACTCCTGGGCTCAGGCGATCCTCCTGCCTCAGCCTCCCGGGTAGCTGGGACTACAGGCATGCGCCACCATGCCCGGCTGATTTTTTCTATATATTTTTAGTTGTACAGCCAATTTCTTTCTATTTTTAGTAGGGACGGGGTCTTGCTCTTGCTCAGGCTTGTCTCGAGAACTCCTGAGCTCAAATGATCCTCCCGCCTTGGCCTCCCACAGTGCTAGGATTACAGGCGTGAGCCACCGTGCCCAGTCTCTCTTTGGTTTTTAATAGTTTGACTGTGAAGTGTTTAAGTGTGAATTTCTTTCAGTTTATCCTACTTCGAGTTCATTGAGTTTCTTGAATGCCTATGTTTTTCATATTTGGGATGTTTCAGCCATTACTTCTTTGAATTTTCTTTCCCCTTTTCTCTGCTCCTTCTGGTGCTACCATATGTTGGTATGCTTATTCATGTGTAACAACTTTCTGCAACTATGTTTTTCTTTTTCTTCATTTTTAATTTCAGTAGTTTTTAGATTATCAAAAATTTTGTATTGGACAATTCTCCCATCTCCATATAAGGACTTTTGTCTATTCCCAAGACCTTGTTTCCCTGTCTTACCGCATAAACTAGGAGGCTCTCAAAGACAGTGTTAAATACAAACAGTGATAGTGGGTATCCTGTCTTGTTCCTGGCTTTAATGAAAATGCTTCTAAGTTTTCTTCATAATGTATGATTTTTTTTTGGATTTTGATAGATACCCTTTTGAGGTAAAGGAATTTTCCTTCTCTTCCTAGATTGTTGAGTTTTGTTTTACCTTTTTAAACCCTGAATGAGTTTGGAATATCATCAGGCTTTTTGACGTGAATTAAAATGATTTTACATTTGTAAAATGTAAAATGTATGTATCTTTTTCTTTAAATATGTATCTTTTTCTTTAAATCTCATGTGGTATAATACATTAACAGACTTTCTGATATTGAACCATCTTTGCATTTCTGGGGTAAAGCCTACTTGATCATGAAGTATTTTTCAAAATTTCCCACTAATTATATTTGCTAATATTTTATTTAGTGCTTATGTATCTTTGTAAGTAAGTGATAGTGCATTTATTATTTTTGCATGTAGTGTTTGCTCAGTTTTGGTGTCAGGGTTTTACTATCCTCACCTGTTATCTAAAACAGGCTGCATGAGATAAGAATTAGTTCCTTGAAGTTCTGATAAAATTTGTGTGTGAAAATTCGAAATGGTGAGGGGATAGATTTTTGACAGAAGTTCATTAAAGATATATTTGTTGAGTCAAATTTTCCATTTTTTCTTAAGTCATTTTAGGAAGTGTTCTAGAGAGTTATCCTTTTCATCCAAGTTTTAAAATGTACTAGCATGTTGTTTCATATTTCATGACTTTTAAAATCTCTATTGTATCCATAGTAATGTTCCATTTCCTAGTATTATTTGTTTCAGACTTTGCCTTCTCCCTCCCTTAGTTTTGCTAGAAATTTTTCTAATTTATTGGCCTTCTCCCTCCCTAAAAATTAGCTTTCTATCAATCCTATTTTTTTTAAATCTTACTATTTTCTGCTCATTACTTCCTTTTATTTTATTATTAATAACTTTTGTCATTGATTTTTAATCTTTCTTGTTTTAAAAATGTATTAAAGAATATGAATTTAACCACTAAGTACTTTATTTTTTAGCTTTGTTCCCTGGTACTTTGTCTTTAAGTTCTAAATATTTTGTAACTCCTAGTTTTCTTTCCCCTTTAACTCAATGAGTCATTTAAAAGTATATTTTTAGTTTTGAGACATTTTAAAATTCGTTTTATTGTGGTCGATTCTAATTTAACTACAATAAAATTGTGTTGTTTGACATCAGTTCTTTAAAATCTGCTATGGCTTAATTTTTGACCCAGTTGATAGTGTTTGCAAAAGTTCCTTATATACATTATTGGGCATGATGCTCTATATCTATTTGATTATACTTAATAATTTTAGTTTTGTGAAATTACCACTAATTTTTTATGATATATCAGGGATATGTCATAAAATACCTGATAAAGGTATATTAAAAGTGTCCACCATACTTATGAATCAAATCCACCTTATCACTAATTTTTCATTATTCTGAGGTTATATTATTAGGTGTATCTAGGTTCATGGTTGTTATATATTGCTGGATTGTTTCATATATTACTATATAATATCTCTGTATCCTCATTAATGCTTTCTTGTTGAAAATTCTATTTTGTTTGCTAGCTACATTGCCCTTCTTTTGGTTAATAGTAACCATTTTAACAATTCAAGAATAAAATTCTGATAAAGCTAATAATGTTTAAAATAATTCCCACATCCAAACATCAGACTGTATCAAAAATTTTTCCCTTGCCTACTGAGACAAAGGTGTGATTGTGTTTCCCTGACAGTTAATATCCTATCTTTATTGTTTCTATTCCCCTCTTAACTAAGCTTCTTGTTAAAAATGGGTTATTCTCTGAGAAATATTATTATTTAAAAGATTTGATAAAGGAGTATTGATTTATGTTTCTCAAAATTTTCTGTGCTGTGAACTTACTATGTTTCTGCATACCATGCTGTGCAAAGCAGCAACAAAAAGGTTTTTCATAATTTATATTGGGTAGGTATTTTTGGAGTTGTAGTATATAGCTGCAGTTGGATGGAGTACCATGTTTTCCCCCCTACAAAACACTGGATTTACTAGGGTTTTTTTTTTTGACCATCCATCTGATGAAGATACTAGTTTTACTATAGGTAAATCTAAAAAGAACAGGAGGCAAGAGGATCACTTAAGCTCAGGAGTTCAAGGTTACAGTGAACTGTGAGTGGGCCACTGGACTCTAGCCTGGGCAACAGAGCGAGACCCTGTCAATCAATCAATCAGTCAACCAATGAATAAATAATCATTTAAGATGAGAACTTTTACTGACTTACACTTTTTCTTCTTAGTGGATATCTTAACTTATGTAGCCTGGAAATTGAGTGCCTTTCCCAAAAATCGTGTTATTGGAAGTGGCTGTAATCTGGACACTGCCCGTTTCCATTACTTTATTGGACAAAGGCTTGGTATCCACTCTGAGAGCTGTCATGGGCTAGTCCTTGGAGAGCACGGAGACTCAAGTGTTAAGCCTAAAGCACTGTTGAGACCTGCATCCTCTCTGAAACATATTTGACCGTATTATCAATTATAGATTTATAGAATTATCAATTATAGATTTATAGATAATGTAAAATAGCTCCTAGGTGGGGACAGAAAACTTTATTCTACTTTAGGCCCTTTTAGTTGTGCTTACTTTTTAGCACATTTATTGTTTTTATAATAAAATAATACACAAGAAATACAAATTTGAAAAACATGAGATTGCTACTCTAATCCTAAATGCTAAGATTATAATGCTTTCTTAATACAGAACTAAGTAACGTGATGTAGTTTTTATCTTGGGACACTCTAGTTCAGAAAGGTCAGCATTATAACTCAGGCAACATGAAGTCTTCAGACTAAGGGATGGATATAACTGGAGAATATTAAGGGAAGAGGGTGCTGTGGTGATAGCAGTCCTTTTTTCCTTTAGTTTCTTCTGGCTAAAAATGTTTGAAATCCATGTAATATAAACCCTGGCTATGGAAAGAAAAGGACTTAAAGGCAGAAAAGCTAAAAGTTACCTGTAGTTGAAAGCTTAAAACTGCTGCTTTCTTGTTTGGAGAATCCCTGCCAAGATGATAGCATTGTGGATCCCCAGCTGTGGAGATTTTGATTTAGATCTGGAAGGGCTATGGCTTGGACATCTGAATTTTTTTGATAGTTCTGTTGAACATTCCTAGTTGAAGACTGCTCAGGAAAATTGTAACAGTTTTGCTAAGGTCAAAACAACCAAAAAAACCTCCCTCAAAACCAAAACCCTGCTATATAACACCATATAATACATAAGATTTTTTTGGTATCTCCTAGTTCCTATATGGAGTGGAGTTAACATTGCTGGTGTCCCTCTGAAGGATCTGAACTCAAATATAGGAACTGACAAAGATCCTGAGCAGTGGGAAAATGTCCACAAAAAAGTGATTTCCAGGTAATATGACAGTTTCATATATTTATATTTGTAAGTTGTGAACCTGAATTCTGCTAGAGGGATGTGATTAGTCCCTTAAGTATATGTTGTTATATTTCTGATACTTTTATTAGCACTTCTTTTATTTTTGTGAGCATATTCACCAGATTATAAATTCTTAAGCAGTCAGGGACTGATTCTGTCTTGGTCATTGCTGAGCCGAACCCAGTGTCTAGCATGTACTAGGGACTCACTTGTTGACTGACAGTATATTTTTTCAAATACTTGCTGTATAATGTTTACTGTTAGTGGTGGAATTGATTGTGTATTGACTTCTGGATCTCTGTTTTTACTTTAAATAACCACTATAAGAAATTCCTAGGACAAATTATTGATGGAAACATTTTAGTTTTGTGGCATTGCCAGATAGTTTGCCACAAAGTGGATGTTTGATGACAAGTGTTTCTTCCAAACTAACTTATGTTCGTGATTTCTTCTTACTCTACAGTGGCTATGAGATGCTTAAAATGAAAGGTTATACTTCTTGGGGCGTCAGCCTATCTGTAGCTGATTTAACAGAAAGTATTTTGAAGAATCTTAGGAGAGTGCATCCAGTTTCTACCCTAAGTAAGGTAGGATATTTATGTTTGAAAAATCATTATTTAACTTTAACATAATATAGGAGTAAAGAGCATTTTTGAGGGACCCTTAATTTTTGAGGTTGATCTTCTGGAAACACGTCTCTTCTTAAAAGTCTGTTCTTTGCTGCTGCTAAAGGTGGGAGTGTGGGGAAGGAGAGACCTATCTTTGTGGACCTTTGTCCTGGCCTAGTGTGACAGTTCTTATTACATTTATGAGATAAAAATAAGTCTTTCTTGCATCTTTATTATTTAACTGAGTGAACTAACTCTACAAATATGCAGTAACAATGGAAACCACTGTGGGTAGATCTTTTTTTTTTTTTTTGAGACAGAGTCTGGCTCTGTTGCCTGGGCTAGAGTGCCGTGGCATCAGCCTAGCTCACAGCAACCTCAAACTCCTGGGCTCAGGCGATCCTCCTGCCTCAGCCTCCTGAGTAGCTGGGACTACAGGCATGTGCCACCATGCCTGGCTAATTTTCTATATATATATTTTTTTAGTTGTCCAGATCATTTCTTTCTATTTTTTAGTAGAGACGGGGGTCTCGCTCTTGTTCAGGCTGGTCTCGAACTCCTGACCTTGAGCGATCCACCCGCCTTGTCCTCTCAGAGTGCTGGGATTACAGGCGTGAGCCACTGCGCCTGGCCGTCTGTGGGTAGATCTTGCCACATTTGGAGTTGTTCTCTAACAGTTTCAGTTATGTCCAATGAAGAGACCTGGGAAAGAAGCTAATTCGTAAAAGAATTAGCAGTTAGTCTCCTGGGGACAAGGGAACTGGAGCAAGGGTAAGATCCCACTGCTAGTCTAAAGGGGAGAGGCTAAAACAATATGGAACTAAATCATTGGAAGTAAACTCATAGGGATTTTGAAGTGGTCCCTGATAGGAAGTGGTTTGGATTAAGGAGATAGGAAAAGGAGTGTGGGCCCCAGCAAACATGGCAAAAGGCTGGGGCCCATGTGGAGAGATGGCTGACGAAATTGAACAATAAATGTGTCTAATCATGTTTTAAATTGTTCTGTCTTGGTGCTCTATTTCTGCCATAATTCATATTACCAGTCCATTAAATACTCATTCACCCAGCAACTGTTGTTTCTCGTATTAGAGACCTTTGTTAGAAAAAGGAATAATTTTTAAGTCTTTAATTTCAGGGCCTGTATGGAATAAATGAAGAAATATTCCTTAGTATTCCATGTATCTTGGGAGAGAATGGTATTATAGACCTTATAAACTTAAAGCTGACCCCTGAAGAGGAGGCCCGTTTGCAAAAGAGTGCAGAAACACTTTGGGAAATTCAGAAGGAGCTCAAGCTTTGAAGTTCTTTAAAGCTACCATTCTGAAGCTATCGAAGAAGAGACAGTAGTTATGGAATTGTATATGTCAAACTTTTGAATAAATTTGAATTTCTGAAACTTGGAAAAAGGAAAAGGGGAAGAGTAACTGCCTTGATTATTTAGCTTTCCAGTTCTTATTTAGTATCCAGATGATGGATGATATTTTTTTCCACAATTCCTAAGTGACTGCATCAGAGGTATTTTTGGTACCTCTGATATACTAGTACTTGCCTTGTGTATATATATAGTTGTTATTTGGTCCAAAAGAATGTGTTTACTGTGTTATAGACATTCTGATTCTTTTGATAAAGTGCATGGTAAATTCTTTCATTCTGGCTCCCTTATACCTAAGTTCATTTATATGTTATTAAAAAAAATTGTAATTTCTTCTATAATGTAAAAACAAAAGTATATACATATAAAAATAATCTGTTAGTTCCTAACATTAAATAAAACTTTGATTTGATTATGCTAATTTCTTTCTGATATTTTTTTTGAGTGGATTTTTATTTTTAAAGAAAAGATCTAAACTGTACAAACCCCTTGATGATAACTAAGACTAAAATTGATCATATGTGGGCTGATTCCCTAAATATCTTTTTTATTTCAGAATATTACAGGAATATAAATGCTTTGGTTACATATATTGCCTTTGCACTGCCTGAGTCAGAACTACAAGCATGCCCAGCCCTCAGATATTGCACACCGTACCAATTAGGTGTGAATTTACTCATTCCCTGCCCCCCGCCATCTGCCTGACACCCTATGAAAGTTGCTTCCATATGTGCACATTAAGTGTTGATCAAGTAATACCAATTTAATGGTGAGTACATGTGGTGCTTGTTTTTTCATTCTTGTGATACTTCATTTAGAAGAATGGGCTCCAGCTCCACCCAGGATAGTACAAGGGTTATTCATTTTTTTTTATGGCTGAGTAGTACTCCATGTTATACATATACTACATTTTATTAATCCACTCATGTATTTATGGACACTTGGGTTGTTTCCACATCTTTGCAATCGTGAATTGTGCTGCTATGAAAATCCGAGTGCAGATGTCTTTTTTATAGAATGTCTTTTTTCTTTTGGGTAGATGCCCAGTAATGGGATTGCTAGATCAAATTGTAGTTCTCCTTTGAGTTCTTTGAGGTATATCCATATTACCTTACGTAAAGGCTGTACTAGTTTGCAGTCCCACCAGCAGTGTATGAGTGCTCCTTCTCTCTGCATCCACGCCACCATTTGTTTTGGGACTTTTTGATAAAAGCCATTCTTACTGGAGGTAAGTGATATCTCCTTGTGGTTCTGATTTGCATTTCCCTGATCATTAGAGATGTTGCACATTTTTTTATGTTTGTTGGCCATTAGTCTGTCTTCTTTTGAAAAGTTTCTGTTCACGTCGTTTGCCCACTTTTTAATGGTGTTTGATTTTTTTCTTGCTGATTTTTTCGAGTTCTATATAGATTCTAGTTATCAGCCCTTTATTGGATGTGTAGTATGCAAATATTTTCTCCCATTCTATTGTTTATTGTTGTCTATTTGCTCTGATGATAGTTTCCTTTGCTGTGCAGAAGCTTTTTAATCAGTTTCCATTTATTTACTTTTGTTGTCGCTGTAATTGCTTTTGGGGTCTTCTTCATAAATTCTCTGCCTAGGCCAATCTCTGTAAGAATTTTTCCAACATTTTCTTCTAGAATTCTTACGGTTTCATGCCTTAGGTTTAAGTTTGATATCCACTGTGATTTGATTTTTTAAGAGGTGAGAGGTGCAGATCCTGTTTCAGTCTTTTACATGAGGCTATCCAGTATTCCCAGCACCACTTACTGAATAAGGATTCTTTTTCCCAGTGTATGTTTTGTCAGCTTTGTCAAAGATCAGATGGATATATGAGGATGGTTTTATATCTGGGTTCTCAGTCCTGTTCCATTGATCTATGTCTCTGTTCTTGTGCCAGTACCATGCTCTTTTGGTTACTGCAGCCTTGTAGTATAGCTGGAAGTCTGGTAAATTGATGCCTCCCAATTTGTTCTTTTTGATTAAGGTTGCTTTTGCTATACAGGGTCTTCTCTGGTTCCATACGAAGCGTAGAATTATTTTTTTCTAGATCTGTGAAAAATGATGTTGGTATTTTAATAAGGATTGCATTGAATCTGTAGATCACTTTGGGCAGTATGGACATTTTAACAATGTTGATTCTGCCGATCCATGAGCATGGTATGGTTTTCCATCTGTTTATATCCTCTGCTATTTACTTCCTCAGTGTTTTGTAGTACTCCCTGTAGAGGTAGGGACCTTCTTAGTTAAATATATTCCTAGGTATTTTATTTTCTTTGTTGCTATTGTGAAAGATATTTTGTCTTTGATTTGATTCTCAGCTTGTTGTTTGTGTATAGGAATGCCACTGATTTGTGTACACTGATTTTGAAACCTGAGGCTTTGCTGAACTTATTTATCAATTCCAGCAGTCTCTTGGCAGAATCTTTGGGGGTTTTCTAGATATAAGATATTGTCAGCAAAGAGCTATTGTTTGACATCTTCTGCCCCCATTTGGATACCCTTGATTTCCTTCTCTTGTCTGATTGTTCTGGCTAGGACTTCCAGCACTATGTTGAATAGAAGTGGTGATAAAGGGCAACCTTGTCTGGTTCCAGTTATAAGCAGGAATGCTTTCAATTTTTCCCTGTTCAGTGTGATGCTGGCTGTGGGTTTGTCATATGTAGCTTTTATCATCTTGAGGTAAGTCTCACCCATGCCTATTTTGTTAAGCATCCTTATCATAAAAGGGTGCTGAATTTTGTCGAATGCTTTTTCTGTGTCTATTGAAAGGATCATACGGTCTTTGGTTTTACTTCTGTTTATGTGGTGAATTACATTTATAGATTTGCGTATGTTGAACCATCCCTGCATCTATGGGATGAAGCCCACTTGGTCGTGATGGATTATTTTTTTGATAAGCACCTGAATTCGGTTTGCCAGGATTTTATTGAGAAATTTTGCCTCTATATTCATAAGGGATATTGGTCTGTAGTTTTCTTTTGTTGCTGAGTCCTTTCCTGGCTTTGGTATCAGGGTGATGTTGGCTTCGTAAAACTGGTTGGGGAGGATTCCTTCCTTCTCGATGTTGTGCAATAATTTCTGTAGGATAGGCACCAGTTCTTCTTTGTAGGTCTGGTGAAATTTGGGTGTGAAACCATCTGGTCTGAGACTTTTCTTTTAGGAAGGTTTCTTATTGTTGCTTCCATTTTGGTACTTGATATTGGTCTGTTCAGGAATTCTATTTCTTCCTGATTGAGCCTAGGGAGGTTGTGTGTTTCTAAGACTTTGTCCATTTCCTCCACGTTTTCAAGTTTATGTGCAAAGAAATTTTTATAGTTTTCATAGATGGTATTTTGTATTTCCGTGGTATCAGTTGTAATTTCTCCTTTTTCATTCCTGATTGAGCTTACTAGAGTCCTTTCTTTTTTGCTTCTGGTTAATCTAGCAAGAGGTATGTCAATTTTATGTTTTTAAAGAACCAACTTTTTGTTTTCTTAATCTTCCATATAGGTTTTTTGTTATTGATTGTATTTAGTTCTGCTCTGATCTTTGTTATTTCTTTTCTTCTGCTGGGTTTAGGGTTGGTTTGCTCATCCTTTTCCAGTTCTTTGAGATGATTCATTAGATTGTTGATTTGTGATCTTTCTGTCTTTTGGACGTAGGCATTTATGGATATAAATTTTCCTCTCAGGACTGCTTTAGCTGTGTCCCATAGATTTTGATAAGTTGTGTCTCCTTTATCACTTAGTTCAAAGACTCTTTTGATTTCCATATTATTTCCTCCTCAACACAATAATTGTTCAGCAGAAGATTGTTTAGTTTCCGTGACTTTGTGTAGGGATGACTGTTTCTACTGGAGTTGATTTCTAATTTTATTCCACTGTGGTATGAGAATATGCATGGTATAATTTCTATTTTTTAAAATCTGTTGAGAAATGTTTTGCTGCCTTAATCTTAGATAATGTCCTATGAGCTGATGGGAAAAACATATTCAGTGGTTTTGAGTAGAATGTTCTGTAAACATCTGTCAGGCCCATTTCTTTTAGAGTTCTGTTTAAGTCCATTGTTTCTTTATTCATTTTCTGTTTGGAGGATCTGTCCTGTTCTGTTAGAGGGGTGTTGAAGTTCCCGGCTATTACAGTGCTCTCTTTTATCATTTTTTTAAGATTAAGTATGATTTGTTTTATGAATCTGGGCACACCTCAGTTAGGTGTGTAAATATTTAGAAATTTTATGTTGTCTTGTTGAATTGTTCCCTTCACCATTATACAATGTCCATCTTTGTCTTTCATTCTTTTGTTTACTTGAAGACTAAGTTATCTGAAATGCAAACTGCTACACCAGCTTTCTTTTGGTTTCCATTTGCATGGAATATTATTTTCCATCCTTTCACCTTGACTCTGAATGAATCCTTATGGGTTAGATGTTTCCTGAAGACAGCAGATACTTGGCTTGTGTATGTTTATCCATTTGGCCAGCCTGTGTCTCTTCAGTAGGCCATTCAAACCATTCACATTTATGGAAAAAATTGATAAGTGGGGTGGATTTCTGTTCATCTTGTTGAGTAGAACTTTGTTGCTTTGTTTTCTCTTGGGCCATTGTGGTATCTTGTATCTGGCCTTTGATCTTTAGCTTGTGGGTGATATTACACTGGTGAGTGTCTATTGTGCTGATCCGGGAATAAGGCAGTTATAAGTACTTCCTGTAGGGCAGGTCTTGTCTTGACAAATTTCCTCAGTGTTTGCTTGTCTGAGAAAGACTTTATTTCTCCTTCAAAAACGAAACTTAGTTTTTTAGGATACAAAATTCTAGGCTGGGCAGTATTCTGTTTGGGAAGACTGAGAATGGGGCCCCAATCCCTTCAGGCTTATAAGGTCTCAGTTGAGAAGTCTGCAGTTAGTCTGATGGGTTTTCCCTTGTAAGTTACCTGCTGCTTTCTCCTTATGGCTCATAGGAGTGCCTCTTTTGCATTTGTTTTGGCCAATCTGATGACTGTGTGTCTGTGGTGGAGCTTTCCTCTTTGCAATGAATCTCTCAGGAGTCCTTT